TATATTTATAGGTCTTGTTTACATGACCTAACCGTCTAAGTCTATTTTTCACCATCTTCTCTACAATAGGTGATACCCTAACATTCTCTCTAATATTTTCAGTTATAATCAGATTTTGTCTAGTCTTACCACACATCCAATGCAACATTCTCATCTCTTTTACACTTACATTATTCTTGTGTTAATTCTAAACCACACAACATTCTATAAATTACAACATCACATGTCTCACTACAGTTCAAAGAAATTTCTTCTTCAACTTGAGTGCTACCTTTGTGTCATTTAACACACTTGAAGCTCTTCTTCATTTAAGGCACTCTGCTTTAATTCGATGGTTTATATCCCTTTCTATTTCACAATTATTTTGTATTATAAACCCAAGATATCTTAACCTGTGTCTTAAGGGATGAGATGGTCTCAAACTTTCACATCTATGTAAGAAACACTTCTTCTTTTGCTGAATTTACATTCCATATACTCTGTCTTAATTCTTCTTAGGAAAAAACTAGGCATTTATAAAGCTCACGCTACTTTAAATAATACATTTAATGATAAAGCATTCACCTCACCCAACAAAAAACCAAGGTAAAATGTCAATGCGTGTCATATTTTATTTTTATTTTAAAATAAATATTACATATCCCCTCGGTTTCTAAATAAACCCAGGGGAAAACTAATTCATGACAAGCTTTGAATCACACCAAATGCAGTTTATGTTTTTATTTCTTTAAAAGTGGTACCTTTTTATTTTATTTTATTTTATTTTTGATTTGTTGATTAATGATTTGTTCCTTCAGTTTCTATGATAACCGAGGGATAAAATAATCAAATTTTACTATAAAATCATTGGTGATTTAGATTTTACCTTAATCTTAACTTATATGTAACCTCTCCAAACTCGTACGCATTATTCTTTGGGATGAATTGCAACACAGAAATGTTTTTTGATGTTGTGTGTTGTATGTTGTTCTTCTATCTTGAAAAAAAAAATATTTTTTTACCCTTGCAATCTATTTCACATAATGGTGCTTATGTAGTTGTTGTATTTTTGAAATAACCTTCCTATGTTGTAAATCAAAGAAAATACTCTATAATTTATTGTTTTTCTTGGTTGACAATATTGAGAAATTTATTTTTCTAAACATGCAATAAATTGTAAGTAATTACAACATACAAAAATTGGTGAATGAAAAGAAATTAAAAAGGAAACAAGACATGTTACTTTTAAATTTTAATCATTCGCCATTTTTTCAAGTAATATATTACCTTGGTTTTTTATAAATCGAGGGAAAAAACCTTATTTTATTATATTGTTTAATTAAAAAAGAAAAAAAAAATTCCCTCGATTTTAAAAATGAATCGAGGGGTTTAATTTCTCAGCTACAACCACGAATTTATTCCTTACATTCATAAAGTAACAACGCTCAAGATATTGCTAACACATAAATACACAAGAACCTCTCTAAATTCGCCACTATATACCTTGTTCTCTTTCTTGTGAATATATTTTCCATGAAAATAATTACTCAAGATAATGAAATATTTTAACACATCTCTATAATTGATTGCAAGTGTACAAAAAATTTATCATAGATGGAACACACAACTTATAAGAAATTGGATGCACGCAACCTGTTAGACTTGAAATGAATGTGCACAAAGGGTATACAACAAAATCTGAATAGTAACAAATATTAGTTGTTTTCCAATAATAACGGTGACGATGTCGAAACAGATTTGTGAAAATATGAATTTGTTTAAACAATATATTTTAATATTATGTGTAAACAATGAAATTTAAAAAATGCTTACTCGCTTGATTTTTAACAGAAACTGAGAGGTATGTGGCGCTTGGGATGAAACCTATTTTATCTTATATTTAAAAAGAAACATATTTTACCTCAGTTTTAAGTTATAAATAAGGGGAAATATAACTGTGTTTATTGAGTTTCTTCATCATCCTTAAGCAAATCGTTGTCGTCTATTTAATGAGTATCAACGCTCAAGACACTGCCATTAGTGATCCGTGTGAAACCTAAAAGACATTATAAAAGCATTATGAATATCAAAATTTAATAATGAAATCTTTGACATGAAAAGTTTCAAACATAAAGAAGCTTAGAAAAGTTCTCTACGATGGATTACAGTAGCAGGAAATTATTTGGGTTCAAGGTTTGTGTTCTTAAATAATCATTTAACTGGATACTTATTTTATTTATCTAACCCTTTTTTGTTTTATATAAAAAAAATGCATCCAATATTCAACAATTGATCTTTCTCAAGATTCAATGAAACAAGGATCCAACATTTGTTATTCTCCCAAGATCCAGGATTTGTTCTTCATTGAAAATTGAATCAGAGTCAAAATTTGTTATATATTTTTACTTTAATATTTTGTGTAAATAATATAGTTTCTAAGCAAATTAGTTTATTAATATTCTGTGTAAACAAATTAGTTTATTAATATTCTCTGTAAACAATATAGTTTGTAAACAAATTAGTTTATTAATAATCTGTGTAAACAATGTAATGAGTAAAAAAAGTTATTGCTGGGGATCGAATCAATGAACATTTGAACTATCTCTTTGGTTATTCTAAAATCAAGAGGGTATAGTAGAGAGTTTTCATGACGCCCTTCGTTACCTCTCATTTGGAACTGAGGTTAAATCAACTTCACGTCTAAGGTTAAATGTGTTTTTTGTAGTAGCGTCGTTTCCAACATCTCATTTGAATCCTCTTTTTGACTCTCCAAGTAGGACTATATCATTTGTAAAAAAAATGTGCTTTTTCCGTGAGTATATTCTAAATTAAGGTAAAAAAGAGGTATGAAGTTAAGATTGACCCTTGATTATAGTAAAATCTCAAGAAGATCTCTTGTAACATCACTCTAACTCAATCTCTTTTATCTACTTTATCACTTTCCATTGCTTTTTCTCTCTAATTTTTTAATACTAACATAATTTTCTTCTTAAGTAAAAAAAATAAAAATTAATCATCAATTTTGAATAAAACAATTCACCCTATCCTTCTTGTATTTGAAGAGACTTGCTCAAAAAAGACCACAATAAAAAAAAATATTTTGAGATGCCTAAGGCTGAATTTAAATACTAAACATCTGATTAACAAAGAAAAAAATCCTTACTATTTCATCAAAGATATTTTGAATATCTAAATAATATATCTAAGTCTTCTGAGTATTAAATAAGATAATATTTTAATTTAAATTGTAACCATCCATCATCCATCATATTTTACTAAATTAAATCTTATTATTATCGCAGTATTATCTTTTAAATACTCTTTATTAATTAAGCACTTTAAAAGACAGAAAAAAAGACAGAAAAAAAAACATGCAAACACCGACAAAATTGGGTTAAGGAAGGAATTGATACATTGCATTTATTCCATTTATTTTATTACTTTAAGCTTACATAAAGCAAGAGCTTGATATAGCTATAGCTAGCTAGGTAAATTAAACTCAAGCCACAGACTTAATTATTCCAGATTCAAGGAAAGCAGGAACAATAACAAATTCAAAAGTGTCGTTTACTTCCCCTCTTAATAAATACAAACGTTTTCCACCTTCACCACTATTTTGATAACTCCCAATGTCAGAATAAGCAATACTTCCAAGAGGGCAAAATCCAAACTTATAACCAAACCCATGTTTCAAAATTTTAAAACTGCCATAATATACTGGCGCATAATAGTTTCTAAAACCACCAATACCAACACACCTTTTATTAATATCGTAATCATAGAATAATATCCAATCCGATGTAGCAACACAATTTGGTTCCTTAGTAACTTGAATATAAAGTGGTGTATCTGTGAGGATTTTTTCAGAATTGTTTCCTATAATGGTAAACTCCACAGATGTTCCAAACACATTTGTTTTGTTAGTTTGTAGGATAGTAACATCACATTTGGAAAGACTAGTTCTTCCTAGTTCTAATCCACCGCCAGTGGCTCTGCCACCAATGGAAGCGGAAATGTAGTATTTCTTACCTGCTATAACGGGTGCACCCGTTATGTCATGTATTTCTTCATTATCGTCATTTGAGAAAGCTGTAGAGAGATTGGTGATGAAAACAAAGAGGAGAAAGGAAAGAGTGAGGGAGTAAAGAAGCTTCATGATTAAGTAATGCTATGTTTGGTTGTGTATTGTGAATTACATGTGCCTCTATATATAATGTTATGATACTCTTGATGTGGTTCACAATTCACAAACGTCGATACCTATTGCTTCACAATAATGTTATATATTTTCATTTCAATATTTTAATCTTATTATAAGAAAGTTTGCATGCATTCCACGAGGAGCCCAATCTTTAACTTTTCTTGTACCATCCATATGTTACCTTGTACTAGTACCTACAAACATCATAAAAATTTCACTAATTTATTGGTCTGGAAGGCAAAGCTACCATTATTGATTCGAAGAAAAATATTTCAAAAATATTATTTTCATGTCGATTTCTATCCTTATATCACATGTGATTGTTTATAATCTTACAGAAATTAGAATCTTGTTAGAAAAAGGACACAATGATGTTGCACAAGGCAGAGAATAATACTAGCAAGTAATAGAAGAGAAAACATCTTTATCTAAAGGTTCTTATCTAGCAAATAATTTAATTCCACTAGATGAGTTTCACCTTTATGAAAATTTAAATATTATAAAAGCTTTTAGAATTTTTTTTACTAAAACTGCTATATCAGAAGTAAATATTCTTCTTCTAAATCTCAAAAACTGACAACTTTCAGTGCTATCAACCATGAGAGTCTAGTAGAACTAGTGTTAGATAGAGATATCAACTGTCAGTCATAAGTCTCTAAGATTCTATTTAGAACTAGCATTTTATCTTGAAACAAGAGTCATGAGTGATAAATGAATATAAATTTTCTTCTTTGTACAACTAACAAGCAACGATATCATCTCAATAAGTGAGAAAATTGTTTCCATAAATATGATTATCATCTGGCTTAATAAGACACTCGGTGCAGACAAATACAACATATTTTCCTCTTAAAGATTTATGAAGTTCTCTTTTTCTAAAGTATCTAGACAAATGTGTCATTGAATCAAAAGATAAGCCAGAAAAGAACAAGCTTACCTTTTTATTGTTGGCCAGACTCGATTCAATATTCAGACTTGACTAATAGAGATTGAACACAAATTTGAGTGGATTCTGGTTCAATGGTTGTCTAACCATTGATTCCACTACTTTCACAAAATTCAGTACCACCAGTACTTAAATCTGGGCTGTTGGCTCTTCCTCCAATAAATATTGTAAACAACCTTATAGAAGATGCCTCTACTTATTTCCTTGATATTTGTTGCAGATACATTATAATCCTCATATTTCTATAAGACCATACATGTAATTAAAAATAGAATTTTCTTTGCCTTACATCTCAATCTAATAGCAAGATCATAAATCACTCCAGAGTATATGTTTAGGATGAGATATGATAGGAACAAAATCTTGTTCTAAGCAATGTCACCAATCTCATTGTCTGGGATTAAATCTTTTGACTCTGAAATCATTGACAAGCTCAGAACCAGATGATGTTTGCTATCAAGAATTGACATAAAGCAGATTAAAGTATTGTCTTAGTATAGCTGATAGAACTCAAAGAGAAGTTGAAGATTTCTCATAGAAATATCTTTTAAGACAATTTCCATGATGATCCTCAAACAAGAAGCAATGTAGTTTCTTAAGATATCACCTTAAAGAACAAAATCCATATAATCAAATATTTTGAAGCAAGATAGATTTGACACCATCTCTTACTTTTTAATACTTAATTTTTTATTTCAGAACACAAATGATTCTTTTCATTTTAATCCTGCACTAATATCAGCTTCAAAAGATTAAACATTGAAGAACATCTAATATTAGGTTCTGCTAGTATTTCTTCTTACTTTTCAGATTTGGGAAATCAGTTGAAAAACAAATATTTTAGACGTTTTTGAAGTTACTCTTCTATCAACAGATATCACAATCCATTCAACTAGTATGAAAGTCCTCCTGACAAGAAACCTAAGTTTCTTATCGTTAGTCATTCCAAAGAACTTAAACTAAAAAGAAAATGTGATATGTTGAATATTTTTTCATCATCTAACTTCATTTCTTTCCTTTGAAGACTGCAAGACAAACCGTCAGAACACAACAGATTCAAGATGTAAACATAAAAAAAATGTGACTTCAAATTTAAGTCAAGGAACAATCTTTTCAGAATTTGCTTAAAAATATTAGATGGAGTGTAACTACTTCAAACTTCAAAGACTGATCCCAACATACTCAATCATATCTATATACTTTATTACTATGTTCTTCGAATCATAACGAACAAACAAACTAAATATAAAAAATATTTTTAAAATTTTTAATATATGACTACCAATAATACATGAGAATATAAAAAAATCACAATCTTTTAAATTTATTTAAATTTGCATAATTAAATTTTAGATATCGATTTTAAGTTACAAAGCATATATTTTTTCTTTTAAGAAAAGTATTTATTTTTATTGATATTTAATTTATGTTGTTGTATCAATTATAATATAATTTTTTTAATCATATTTGTCCCAACAAAAATCTCAACATGAATAAAAATTCAGTAAAATAAATGAAATTAATTATATAATGAATATAAAAAATATACAAAAAAAAGGAAATAAAAAGTACGGTAACACAGAAAATGGAATACATCATCGACATCGAAAAAGAAAGTGTAATTACTAAGGAAGGTGCTTGCATTATGCAAGCTCATAGTTATTATTCATCATAACAAGAACAAAGAGAGTTTAGATAATAAACAACAAAGGTATCAAACAACAGATTTAATAATTCCAGCTTCATAAGAATCAGCATCTACGAACACAACCGCATAAGCTATTTGATGAGTCAAATTCAACCGTGATCCACCTTCATCCTCATTCCCATCAGACCTCCCAATTTCCAAACAAGTAGGAGAATCTTGAACACAATATCCAAGCCTATAACCAAATCCAGATTCATGTTTCTCAATATTAAAAGTGCCACTCAATGTTTTAAAATCAGGATAATTTTCAGGGCCACCAATACCAACACAAGCTTTTTGAATAACATCGTCAACAAATATCAACCATTTCGAAGATTCGGCACAATTTGGCTTCTTTGTAAACTCAATCTCAATCGGAGTACTAGTGAAGATTATACCAGGACTTATTCTTGGTATACTGAATTTCACTGGTACACCGTTGATAACTTCATTGTAATCTTGTAAGACAGTAACTTCACATTCTGAGTTACCTGTTTTTGCTAGTCTTAGTCCTCCACCCATGGGGCCACGAATTGCTGGCAAGATGTAGTATTTCCCACCTGGGAAAATGGGGTTACCATTTACGTCCAATACTTGCTCAACAGAGTCTAGTGAAAAAGTTAGTGAAATATTTGTGATGAAAATAAAGATGAGGAAGGAGAAGGTGAGTGATGAAACATGCTTCATTGTAAGACAACGATGTTATTTATGATTGGAACTAGCATTTGATCGATCTCCTATATATGTTTTTATTTTGAAGTTGTGTTTAACTTTTATATAATAAGCTTACACGCGTTCCACGAAGACCGCAACTTGGGTTTTTAATTCACCAAAATAATTGTAGTCAAATGTAGCGAGGAATTTTTAATTTCTTCACGAGGAGCACAGCCTTTTATATATATATATATATATATATATATATATATATATATATATATATATATATATATATATATATATATATATATATATATATATATATATATATATATATATATATATATATATATATATATATATATATATATATATATATATATATATATATATATATATATATATATATATATATATATATATATATATATTTCTTTATTAGAATTAGAGATAGAGTGATAATCGGAAATGACGGTGGAGTTTAACTTTTGATGGGGTGGATAGCTTGATGTGTAAAGTTAACATTCTAACACTCTAGTTAGTATGTGAGGAAAAGAGTTGATTAATAAATTAACAAATATATCAATTTGTGATATCTCAAAGACGGTGTTTTATTCTAGAGTTTGGTTTTATTTTAATTAAACAAAAATGAATTCTTATTTTGATTTTGGTTGATTGCCTCAAAAGATCAAATACGATTAAATTTAATAAAATAAAAAATAATGTGAGAAAAGCATGTTAGAGATGAGAGTACGATCTTGACTCCATTGATATCACAAATTGATGTTGTAAAAACTAAATTTCACCCCTACACCTTATTGGTTCTTAATTAAGATTATATATTCTTAATTCTTTAGTGAATAGATTTTTGGTATTCAAATCAATTCCTATGGCTGTTAGTATATTGTATATGAATCCAAGCATGTAATAACCAAGAACAACGCAATTTTTACACATATCCCTAAGCATATGAGATATCTAATATAAATTATCTCAATTAAATCTTACCTATTAAAATTATTTTCTAACATATAAATGTAAATCAATTCTCAATTGGCCAATGGAGTAAATCATTAAGCGCAGAAAAATAAATAAATGTGATAACGAGGAAAAACTATTACATATTTTAATCATCGATTCAGAAATATAATTTCATCAAAAACAATGACTCATCCCTAACATTAGGGAGATTAGTTACTCATGACGTAAATGAAATCCATAATAAAAGTCAAAAATATTACACAATGATCACAAAGGAGAAAGCTTAATGGAGGAATCCTTTGAATTGGTGCTTCTTGTTGTTTCTATCGTGTTTGCCTTGTTCCACGAAGAGCACAACTTGTCGTGTTTTTAAGTCGGATAAAAAAGAGGAAATTATGTTTATTGTTATAATGGTTTTTTTTTCTTTCGGGATTATTATTTTCCTTTTCTAAGGGTCAATTGGCATTTCCTAATAAGGGGAAAGGATCCCTTTATAAGAGTTCAACATTTTTTTCTAATAAGGCGACAATGATTCTTTTGTAAGGGTCTAACAAGACCTACAACATATAACAAACTCAGAACACCAATAAGTCAACAAAATAAGTCGCTTCATTAAAAATTCATGTCTTGTAGGGGAAAATATGGAAAAAGAGTTTCAACTAATATATGTTATTCATTAAAACGAGTCTTGATAATTCATACAATGGTGGGATAAATATCTTCGCGTTATTCCAATATAAAAGGATCAACTGTAACAATATCTCAGGTTCACTGAGTTCTAAATTTTAGGGATGAGTTGTCAACCCAACCCTTCAAGCTTTACACACCATGAGGTAGCTTCTGATATATCATGTTAGGGAGTAATTTTTCAATGGGAGTAGGTGTGACCACTTATCTAAGCATATTTCATATTCCTCCCCTTCCCTTAAAGCCACTTTGGATTTTCTCTTCTAGTTGTTCTTTGCTTTACTGAGAACTTAAGGATGCAGACGATCTCTATTGACTTGTCAGGCATATGAGGTGTGTACTTAAGCTCTGCTTTACTATCTTTACACACTAAAATTCAATTAATTTGGCACAAAGATAAGTTATTTTGTTAGTTTATAGACAAATCAGGTTCGTGTAAGGGTATGCTTTAACTTCTTCATTTATGCGACCGTAGGGCCTTTGTAGAGACTATGTTCAAACATAGAGCTTACACCATAGGCGGGAAATGTAAAATTAATTAAATTTAGAAAAGGGAAAAAACATACCTCATCGAAGATTTCAGTGGGGGCGTGTCGCAGCGCGAAAAGTACCCGAGCGTACTAACGCTCAGAATAAAATACAGAGTCGTCACCGAAATTTTATTTTTAAAGGGAAACGTCGTTAAAATCCTTGAATGACAAAAACATGGCCGGCGCAATCAGTTTTGGGTTCGAGAGTCGGTTATGTGAAGAGAAGGTTTTAGCATCCCTAACATCCGTTGTAATAAACGAGAACTGTTTATTTAGTTTTGTGTTAGGTGTTAGCTTAAAAATGTTTAAGTTTCTTTATTGTTTTAAAAATATTTATAAAAAAATGAATAAAATAAATAAAAATATTATTTTTTATTAAAGTGGTTGACGAGACATTGAATTTTGCTCATACGTTAACTTTAGTGCAATGAGGAATTCGAAGTTATGTGGTTTTGTGTAACAAAAGTTTATTTGTTGGTTTATTTTAATTGTGAAAATGTGTCCAGTCGCACTTGAGCTCTACAACAATAGGGCCTACGCCGTGTTAATCATTCTCTCACTCAATTTTAATTGTAAAAGATGTGGGGTGAGTAAATTCATAATTCTTTAGCGAAAGACAAACATTCAAACATTGAGCTATACAACAATGTCCAAATATTTGGAGAAGGAACAGGCTTACGCCTAATCACTCCATTTTTCATCCACAAAAGAATGAACTAACTCGTTTTAATTATTGTGTATTAGTTTAAAATATGTGTACTTGAACAGTGAGCTCTACAGCAATGTCCAAATACTCAGAGAAGGAAAAGCCTTACACCCAATCACTTCCTTTTTCATTCCATTTATTTTTATATAAAAATAGATTTTTATTATTATGATTTTTGATTAATTATTATTATTAATTTATTAAAAAGACAAGATTTAGACCAAAGTCATTATAAAAAAAATATTGTTTATCTTTTTATGTTGTGATAATTAAATGATAAAATTAATAGAAAGGGGAATTACAAGTTACTTGGGTTCAATTAGGGATGGAAAAACAGGTCGTCCGCCCTGTCCCGCCCCACCCCGCCTTATACCAAGGAAAAAAAAGGTGAGGCGAGCAAGCCCGCCAAGTGGAAATGGATATATAAATCTAGTTTGTCCCGTCAAGGTGGCGGGTTGGCGGGCGGCGGGCTTACCCGTTTACCTTTTTATTTATTTATTTTCATTTTTGTATGGAACTCCACCTCTTTCTTTTTGTATGGCACGATTTCTTAGAGAATGATTCACAATATCATTTCTCTATCGTGTTCTAGCACAAATATCATTGGTTGTGCATTCTCCCATAGCATGATCTTCCTCATAGATTGTGCTACGAGTACTTAGCGCTAAAGTGGACCCAATTCATTGTTGGTGTAAGCCCTAGAGGCCAATACTTTTTGGTACTTGTATCGGATTATTCGTTTAATAATAAAAGGCATTTCTTTATTATGTTTGTCTTTCAGAATAATAAAGTCCCTAGAATAGTTAGTTTGTTTAATGAAATGTTAAGTGTGACTTAATCATGAGATCCCATTAAACATAAAGACATTATTCTTAAAATATCCGTAGTCAAGCTTTATTGCAAAGTGGGATAACATTAAAAGCATTGAGACTATTATGAAGATAGATTGATGATCACATCTCATGGATCATGGATAAAGAGTTATCAAGTCTTGACATAGGTATAAATATTAGGAGTAATATTTATACCGGATTGACCCGCTATGAGAATACTACATAGTATGTTATGCAAAGTGTCATAAGTTATTCTCATGGTGATAATGGTGTATTACCACCCTTCGACCTGAAACCACTATGGACCCTAGATGTAGAGTCGGGTGCTTTATTGCTGATCAAACATTATCCGTAACTGGATGATCATAAAGACAGTTGATGGGCACTCCACGAAGCATGCTGAGGGACATGAGTGTCCTAGATGGAATTTGCCAATCCTGCATAACAGGAGAAATGTCTAAGGGCCCAATATTGAACTGGACAAGGATGACACAGTGTATGCCTTGTGTTCAATATAGACATAGGGGCAAAAGGGTAATTGTACAAACATATATTATCACGAAAAAGGTTTTGTCAGATCACATGACATTTTCGTGACTTGGGTAGCAGTGATGTGTTGCTAGATACCGCTTACTGTTTATTATGTTAAATATATAATTTAATATAATTACCAACGTTACGAAATCCTACAGGGTCACACACATAAGGACAGTTTGATGAGAGATAGAGAAATCAAAGGAACACCGTAAGGTACGGTGCACTTAAGTGAAAAATAGAAATTCGGATAATATAATAATAATTATTGTTATTTTATAATGGTTATAAAATAATAATAAAATAAATATATTTATTATAATAATAGTTATTATAATAATATATAATATTATTATGGATCATGTGAATTGGGTTTTTAGCCCGCAGCCCACAAGAGAGTCTATAAAAGGAACCTTTGTGATGAAGCTTTCACTTGATGCAATTTCGTTTTTGATTCTCTTTTCTCACTCAAATAATTCCGTTCGTAAGCAGCTAGCACTGTGACCGGAAGCTGTTCGTGTGGACTGAGTAGAGGCGTTGCACTTCATCAACGCTTGTGATCGCTGCATCAAAGATCTGAATCGCCACAAAGAGGTAACGATTCTATCACTGACCATGCTCATTCGTAAGGATCACTAAAGGAAATTTTTGTTTTCCGCTGCGTTTAGATCGCAATTTTCCTTCAGTGGTATCAGAGCCACTTACGAAACCATGGATCTGATAGCTGTTAAATTTTCGTCTTTTCTGTATTTGATTAGA